CCTTTAGGGATGGAGGTAGGCCCAGCCCTGGCTTGTGCGGTTAAGGTTGTTGTACAAAACCAATCTAATGTCGACGATGGAACGAACAACGAAACTTTACGACAGCTTTTTCGTAGACGTTCACTTGCATCACATACACAAGTGCTCTCTGAACCGTGCAATAAGGTCACCCATAACACGGCTCTCCCACTTGAGTTATCTTAGCCTACCTCCTTCCCATGCTGCTTGCCAACGACAACTGGTATTTTCGGCTCATCCACTTCCCCTCTACCCCCTTTCGGTTCTGGCAAATACCCAAACTATGATATCATCTTCGTTCTAAAAGGATATCATAGTTTTGGATTGCTCGAAGAATCCGGCGATAGGGAACGCTTTGTCGGGTTCCCCGTTCCATTATCTGAGTCACGTACGACTAGTAGGTTTTAGGACTAAATAGTTCCCCTTGCGGGCAGTGAATATACCCGCGAATTTCTCGAAATCGAGCCATAATGGAATTCGGATGAAATCCATCGGCCACCAAAGCCGCCTCTATATGGCGCTCTACTACGACTTGTGTGTCAATTATGGATACCAGTCCTTGTGGGTCCCAATTCCCCCCGAGATTCAGGAGAGAATACCTTTGATAAAGAAGGGCCGCTCGCATATCATCGGGGATAAGAGGGTGGGCCAATTGGGGAATAACAACCGGTTGCGGTACCGGTTGAGGTACCGGCGCCGCTTCGGGTGGAGTAAGTGGTTCTTCCGGCAATTGCACTGGACTTTGTCGGGGAGAGAAAGAGTTTAAACCCTCGCAATGGGCAGCTTCAACGCACCCTATCACAAGCCCAACGAGAGGAGAGTTCCTTATCACTTCGGAAAACAGAGAAATCCATTCTTTCCAGTTAGGCCGAAGTGTTTGGCCTTTCCTTCTCCGCGCCCGCTCACGCTTCGCTAACCTATCGCGTGGTAAACGCTTCGCTGACCTATCGCGTGGTAAAAAAAAGAAAAATAAAGTACGAAATAAAAGTAAACAGAGCACACCGCATAAAGATTCTAAATATGAGAAGCCCCCCTTGTATTTGAGAAGAAGGAAATGAATAAAGAAAACGAAACGTAATAAAGCGTTTCTAGCTCTAGTTTCGGATGAGCTTCTCCCAATTCTGTCTAGTAATAGAATAGGGCGGTTTGCACTGACCAAGACTCCCCTTTTTGCTCCGTCCGCGGAGCGTATGAATTTCCAGAAATGTAGATAGAACAAAAGAGGGAATGAAGGGATAGGAATAGGAATTATAGTACCATTGGAAAAAGGGGCACCCGTGGGAACATCTCTACTGACGAACAATTTCAATAGTACGGGTGCGGCCGTGCCACGAGGCACGACCAGGAAAGTAATGATAAATGCCAAGTTATGTAGTAGTACCATATGTTTCATACCATATGTTTCATATCTGTTTCAATATTCAATATCTATCTCGTTCACTTGTAGTTCCGCTTCTTGCAAAAAAAAATGAAGAAAGACTTGTGGGAAGCTTGGTCAAACCAAGAAAGACATGGGAGTTTTTGGGCGTTCTGATTCTTTTTCTTCTATTACGATAAAACAAGTTGGATGAAAAGAGCGCTCCTAAAAGCAGCAGTGATCTTATATACGAGACCAACATCCTTATAATACTACTACTAAAGCAGGCCCCACCACACTGAATTATGAACTTTGCGCCTCCAGGAGGGTCAAGGCAGAATTCCATTCCTATCACCTTCGTCTGGTCGAGAAGGGACTCTGACTCTTCTATTACAGAGGATTAGTCCCATTTTCATCACGATCGATCCACGTCCTACCCGGGCTTAGAAAGCTAGCTTACTAAGGCGAAGGACTTATTTATTGATTGCACTCGCTAAGAAAAGATCCACAATCTATTATCTAATGAATATGAATTAGCTATCTAATTTTCCTTTGCCTAGCTGCCCATTGCTAGAACTTCCAGCGCTAAGGTGGTTGGTGTGGTAAGGCAAGCAACTCCTCTTTCCGACGCTAAGCGCAAAAGGCACTCGAAGGAGTAGTGGGACCAACCATAGGGTTATAGTGGTAAATCCTGCCACCTCAGACTCCTATTTCCCCTCACATGTCAACAAGAAAGTTGGGTGCTCTCCCTTAACGTGGTAGGACTCTGTTTCAAGTCTTGACGTTGGCCTGATTAAAAAAGGCATCCTCGTCGCAGCAAAGCCCGTGTACAATGCTCAAAAAAAACTTAGTCAAAAACGAGACTTTCACAGGTCCGATAGGTCTTTCTAAACAACAACGGGTTCTAAGAAATTCAGCCTTGTCATGGCTGGTTGGGGTTAGAATTAATAAAGGTAGGTAGAGAAGGCCGCAGTAGATTCTTCCGACTGAGTCCCAGTGGCAAAGTCTTGAGGCACGAATCCAACGGCAAGGGAATCTGCGGCTGATCGCGATTCATCAGTCGCAATTATCCCATCAGCGTTCCATTTTAGTTCACCAGTCCATTACTGAGCTGTGATTGCATAGGTAATAGAGCAAGCTGGAGCGGAGGCAGCAGAGACGAAGGTGAGAAAAGGGGGGGGGGGTGGTAGGAGTAGGGCACCTAGTTACAGTTTGCCCGAAGCATCGTTAGAGGCATAGGCAGTCAGAAATCAAAATCGTGGTCGATCGTTTTCAGGCTATCGAATCGGCACGGGTTTAGAATAGTAAAGGCTACTCGATAAAGGATGGCTGGCATTCATCAGTACGTGGATCCGCCGTAGGGGTTGGTTCAGCCACTCGACGACCGGCACTTGCCATTGAAAAACCAATTGTAGTGCTTTATGCAGCGGGGTACCGCGATCGAACGTAACCGGAACACCCCGATATGAGAAAGCCATTTCGAGTTCAACGCAGAGCAGCAAGCACAATTAAGGGATATAGCTATTAACCACTTTTCATTAAAAAATGAAATCATCGCAAAGATGAAATCTCTTTATCCCAACGATGAATGGGAATTGACAAAAGTCATTCGAGAGAAATTCTTTCAAGGACGACAAAAAGATCGGGAGTCTTCCTTGGAAGATCTCCAAAGGATGCTTTCCGCTTTAAACGAACAAGGAAAATCCGCAAGTTGTGCAAAAAGGCTCCGATATAATATTTCCTATTGGAATTGGAAAGAATGAAAATTCATTACTATTTTCTGCATATTTACTATACAAGTATGTTCTACTTTGGACTTGGTCATGCAAGGGATCCCCCAGAAAACATAAAAAAGTCGATTCGCTACCTCTGAACGGAAGGGCCCCCGTTATGTAGTTTTTTTCGCTGAATAAATGAGAGAGAGTGGGAGGGCGGGTCTCTTCTCATTGGGCCCGCATGGATTATGGTTGGGGCACGCCCCACTGAGGTTTTCTTAAGAAATCATATCATAATGCTATTCTCCGCTCATCCATCGGAGAGAGGAACAGCCCTAGCTGAGCTTTCACTCCTCGATTCAAGAAGAGTTCAAGGGTAGGAGGAGAATAAGAGGTTAGCAACGTATGAACGTTTTCCAAGCGAGCCATGGGAGTCTAGGTTTTGCGAACTAGCCCGGACCGGAAAAGAAGCAAGCCTGTATAAAGGGTTGGGTCCAATCATTCTCCTCAATTGAAATCGGGCATAACCGTGGGGGATAGGACATAACTCCCGTTGTTTAAGGGTAAAATTTTCATGAATAAGGTAGTTAAGAAAAAAGTGAGCCGGGGTTGGGAAGGGAAGAGCGAAAGGCTTAGAGCTTTTTTCCAAGCAGCCTACTCTGTGTTTGGGTTCACTATTGATTCAATAATTGCGACAAGAGCTTTTTCTTTCCTTTCAAAGAGGCATTCGATGCCATCATCATTGACTTATGCCTCCTCAACCTATCTAGTAGGTCTTTGCCGAGAAGTCAGATATTATTTACGGGATATAAAGTCCGTATAAGAAGATCGCCCGAGAAGGGGTTTTGCCACTAAATGCTAAATCGGATACTGTCTCCGAAGATAAATAACTAGGCTTTTTCGATTCACCAGGCGTGGAAGCTGAATTAAGAAGATAGGTAATAGATGTCGCTGAAGGGTCTGTCTCCCGGATCAGATGCTGTCCTTCTAAAGCTCAAGATACCCGAAGCTTTTGGTGTTCATAGATAGCACCTGACAGAGTTTAGTCAATTATCACGGATGAAAAAGTTAGCGAGCACAAGAAAGAGAGAACAGCTAGTCAAATTACAACCTTCTTCAACTACTGAGTCAACCCTAAAAGTGGATCTAGGCATCAAGCCTATCCCTGTTCATCAATGAACATGAAAAAGAACTTCGGGGCTGCCGCGTAGAGGGAGTTCATTAGGGTCTTATACACATATGACATAGCCTCATCACCCTCCTTCTTAGCCCTTTGTCTGCTACCATAGAGCTCGGATACAAAGGCTTCGAAGGGGCTGGCCTTCTTCTTAAACAAATATCCCCGGAGTGGTATAATAGTGTAACCCAAATCCCTTGCATACTGAAACTCCTCACTATAATAAACTCCAGCGAATTGGCCTATTAGAAATAATAGTGTATTACTATTCTTATCCCTATAAGGCAAGAAGGGGCGGATAATATCACTTGGACAAACGACCAAGGCCTCAATAAAGCCAAACTGGTCGTCCTAATCTCTCACCCTCCAAATTGCCACGCCAGACCGGTACACCACCTGGCATTGGATAGGTTTTCATGATAAAGGGGTAGAGGGAGTTTACATCATAGGAATATAGATTTTCCCCATACGGTATATAAGAATCGGAATGCCCACCATAGTAACCACGACGAATGAATGTATCTTCATTCCGATTAGGGATATAGATGGGCCAATTTTTTTGATCGTAATAGGTAGTACGAAAAATCTCGAGAGCTAGCGATGATAATGTCCTTTTTTTCACGATATCCACTTTATACTGATAATAATAGATTTCTTGAGCAGTATGCATGATACCACCTAATAAAAGAATATCCTGTTTCATATACTCCAACAATTGATCCCGGAGAGGGAT